ACTGGGATCCTGTGTACATAATTTTGTTCCACCACATGTACCACATGTGGTGGAACAAAATTATGTACACAGGATCCCAGTTACATCCAACAATAAAATGTAAAAGAAAAACAGTTATAGGATCTAAGATACGAACTAAGAAAAATATCAACTAAAAGATACGCTAAGCACTAATAGCATAAAAACAATACGCTGAACAGTAGCACGAACATGAGTCTATGTGAGCAGACGAGCACGCATGAACACAGCAACATGAAACAGATCAGCAGCAACATGAAACAGATCAGCAGCAACACAATGTGATTTTTCACAGTGATTATCCTGGTTAGAGATTCATGAGTTTAACAGCCTCCGGGTAGAAGCTGTTCCTCAGTCAAGTGGTTCTACACATAATGCTCCTTAACCTCCTTCCTGAGGGGAGCGGGGTAAAAAGTGTGTGTGCTGGGTGAGTGAGGTCCTTCATGATGCAGGTGGCCCTCTTCGTGCATCTGGAGGTGTAGATGTCTGTGATGGTGGGAAGGCTGACTCCAACAGTCTTCTGTGCAGCTTTCACCACTCTCTGCAAAGCTTTTTTTTCTGCAGCTGTGCAGCCTCCATGCCACACGTTGATGCTGGAGCACAGGATGCTCTCCACTGCACACCTGTAGAAGGAGGTGAGGACTGAGCTTCCCAGACTAGCTCGCCTCAGCCGCCTGAAGAAGTAGAGTCTTGAGCTTTCTTGATCAGGCTGGTAGTGTTGTTGCCCCAGCTGAGGTTGTCATTCAGGTACACCCCCAAGTACTTGTAGTTGGAGACCACTTCCACCGCAGATCTTCCTATGTTCGGGGTGGGGTGGGGTAGGTGTGTTTGTTTCCTCTGAAGTCCACAACCATTTCCTTCATCTTCTTCACATTGATGTGGAGGTTGTTCTCCTTGCACCAGCTCTCCAGGTGTTCCACCTCCTGCCTGTAGCTGGACTCACCATTGTTTGTGATGCGTGTGTAGTGAACTAAGCCTCAGGTCAAAATCTGGCCCTGAGGGCCTTCCTGGGACAAGAACTGTTATTTCATTGATTTGAGTCCAGAAACACAAAATTAAGTTCATCCAGAGACTTTCTAAGTGTGTCCTGCACTGATCAATTGAAAGAACACTCTCTTTTTTATTATCATTACTATTTTACAATATCTTGATAATCAAAAGTGTGTTTAGTTCAAACCATTTTAAATGTTGAAGTGAACTACTCATTTTAAATCAACTGTGAAACAGTATTAATGATTTTTAATCCTCATTCAAAGTAGAAATCAAGTTAATGTCTGTTACAAGAGTAATTATGCATTTTTGATCTTCTGTCTGAAATGAGCAAGTCGTGATGTGGGTCAGAAGTCAAGTTTCGGTCAAAAACATGTTTACTGGAAAGAAATGTCATGTTTAACTTTTTCAGACAGATAGGAGGAAAACGGCTCCAAAAAGTCTCATTTCTTCAAAACATCTTTCTGTCTGTTCTTAAAACAATCTACTCTTTCTCCTTGACTTTTAATAACCTCTTACATCACTAAGACCACACCCCTGTTGGTTCGTTTCGACCAATCAGGAAGTTCTCAGAGGAACCGGAACTGACCTCTTTAAAAGGGTCAACACTTCCTAGTTCCAAGC